GAAACCCCACACTCACTCATATCTATCCCCATCTCCCTCTTCCCCTATCCCGAAACTCCTATACAAGCTCTCTGTATCAGGTAGGTCTTTTTCATTTCTATTTCGTTCGTGGCTTACTCGACTGTCAAGAGATTTGTAACTTGTGTAGTGTTTTTTATTTTTCTAAATATTCCAAGGCTTTAAGCCTTTATTATATATTTTTCATTCCTATTTTGAACACACAATAACTAATCAGAGGCAATATATCATAGATGAATTTCAACAACAAATTGAACAATCAATAAGCACTTTATGTTCTGCACATCATAAAAAATACTACATCAATAATTAAAGGGTGGTGTGGTTTCTATAAGGTTGCAACCTTAAACAATCCTATTAAGGTGCACCTCCAAATTTTATCATAACATATAATTTTGGTGTAAAAAATTATGAGGATTATCTAAAAATCTATTTTCATATCTAATTATAAAATTTTAAGCTCCAAAAATAGTTAAAATCAAGTAGATATGTAAACATATGAAAATCTTGAAAACTGACGGTTTAGATAATATGTTGTAAGATGTATTATTCCGGAACTCAAAATCTTTTCTTTGTAATATTCATACATCTCTATGTCGAGATGATCAATTAGAGGGTTTTTCAACGTTAAAACAACCTTTTCCGATGGATTTTTGAGATGCATCTGTATTTCTACATTTTCAGGTTGCAATCTTATATAAACTTTTTCTGTAATTAAAACAAAAAAGTGCAAAATAATCCGACTGATGGTAATGTCGCATAATTTTCTTTTTTTGGGATAGCAGAGAGATTGAAGTTATGAGAAACGTAAAAAAAATTAAAAACTTTAGAAACATGCCTGACTGAGGATAAAGATTGGAGGCTTTGCGAGTGAGCTCATGTTCGGGCTTGCTTTGAGAGACAAAGTAATGAGCAGTTCGAATGCCCTAACTCCAACTTGCTCTAAGAACTAGTTCGAATGCCCTAAAAATCAAACTGCTTGTGGCAAAATATGCTCAACTTACAGTCCGATGTTTGTAACATCGGATCGCCTTTTAAGCAAAGTGTGATATCTTTAATATTAGACTGACTAAGAGTATACGGTCTTGTTTTGAATATTGAGTAGATGTTTAAAACATAGTTACTGGGTGCGGGAACGGCTCTGGTTCTGGGAGCAGAAGCGAAAGCAGGAGCGTCGAAGTGACGTCTGCCCAAAGCTCCAGAGCGAGTTCCGGTGAGGGTAAAAGTAGCGGATCGAGATCCTGTATGAACAAGGAGCGTGTTCCAATGTATCGGGATTTTGCGCCCTATTTAACGGGAGCGCTTTCCATGTCAAATAGGATCGTGTTCCCATATTCATTAGGATCGTGTTCCCATCAATAACAAGATCGCGACCCATCTAAGAATGACCGTGTTCTTATTTGGAAAGGATCGAGCTCCATTCAAGGAAGGATCGCGTTCTATGCATGATTAGTCCGCACTCCCATCGCAGAACTCCACTTTTATGAAAATTTGGCTTAAAATATAATTATTTTATTTTAAAAATTGATTTTATTTAAGAAGTTTCTTTTGGGATGTTTTGGAAAAATAGGGATGGAGTTCCAGAAATGTAGGGATCGTGTTCCTAAAACTATGGGAGCGGGGATCTCATTTATTCAGGAATGAGATCCTAAAATTTAAGGAATGTGTTCTGTGCAGTATCGGGAGCGAGCTCCGTTGTGAATAGAATCGAGAATCCTAAAAATAATAACGAGCTCCTAAAAAGTAGAGAACGAGTTCCGGTCGAGATCTCGGCTACGAAGCACCAGAGCTGGGTTCCGAAGCGGAAGTGCCACCCTAGTTGGGCGCTCCCGGTAACTATGGTTTAAAATGCATCCAGCACTTTTATGATATTCCACATACCGGATATCCTACATTGAAGGCCATCAATGTTTGAAACATCAGATATCCCATGCTTCATAAAAAAAAAGAAAAAACGAAATTCGGTCTCATGTTCTAACTATCGAGCTTTGGGGCAAAGAATGGAGAAAATCAAAAAAAGGATTGTGTGAACGAAATTCGGTCTCATGTTCTAACTATCGAGCTTTGGGGCAAAGAATGGAGAAAATAAAAAAAAGGATTGTGTGGTGCTTTTGAGAAAGCAAGTTATAAACATAAGATTGATGGACTTCCGTGTAAATTCCCCATGTTTGGAAACAGTCCGTATTTACAATAATTTAATATGGTATGGATGTAGGATGTAGTTACCAGTCCGAAATTACTATGATTTGGGACTAGTCCATAAAGTTTTAAATTATTTCCCTAATTTTTTTTCGTTTTCTTTCACCCTATCAATCCATTTTTGTAATTTATCTTTCTTCATTTCATAGGCTTGCAAATTTAGCTGATCCAGATGACTCGATTTAGCCGATTAGGATTGGCACAGTCAATGGCCATATTACCTGCCGATTTGGGTTTTTAAAAAATGGGCAATTGTAAAATATCTCTTTTTCCTAAAATATATGAAACAAACCCAGAGGTTTTGAAATTTACATTCATACTCATTCATGTGATATATAAATTTTTTATGAAAATACCCTTCACTATTTTATTAGAACTGTCATGCTTCAAAGACTTCTCGATGGCCATGAGGCGTTACGACACTGTTAGTGCCGTGATGCTTGTCATGACATTGTCATTATCATGTTACTAATATCAATTTAGGTAATCTTAAAAGTTTCCGTTTTTTAAATTTGAAATATACTCAAATTTTTGGAAACTACATCCATACCCATTGACTTGACGGTTTTTTTTTTTTTTCCTAACATACCTTTCAAGGTTCTATTAGATCCCTGATGTTCCAAGGGCCTCTAGATGAACAAAATATATCTTGGCGCTATTAGTACTGTGATGCTTATCAAATATTATTAGTGTAGTGATAGTCATTAATATCAATAGTAGTATTATGGCTTGTGACACTCATTAATATATAATGAGTTAACTATTCAAGAAGTATTGAATAACGAGTATTAAAGCAATATTAGTGCCGTAATACTCACTATCCATACTTGTTGTATAGGGTTCAATAACAAGTGTTATACTCACAATTAATGATGTGATACTTACAGCGTTAACAATGTCATGATAAGCATCACGACACTAATAGCGTCGTGATGCCTTCCATGAGATTCCGTGGGCATCAAAGGGCCCATGGAGCATCACGGCTCTAATAGAACCTTGAATGGAGTTTTCAAAAAAAGATATAAACCATCATGTGAATGGGTATAAATATAGACTTCAAAAAATTTGGATACGATTCAATTATTTTTGAAAAAAGGTGACCCTAGAAAATTAGTCCCGCCCATTATAAATTATATATGTGGCTCGGTGTAGTTTGGTAGTGTCAAAAGATTTTATGCTTCCGCAGGTACATGCGCCCTCGGTAAGAATCCCGCTTGGCTAGGGACCCAAATGCCCTAAACAAGACATTAAGGAAAAAAAAAAAAGTTAAATGGAGACCATCCAATATATGGACGGTCAGAAAAACGTTCACAGAAACTCAAATTCCAAATTTATTTTTGTGAAGACACTCGTCTAGTACTGATTCTGATATGTCCCTGAATATGAGATGAAGAGATTACTCATAAGTAGGTTTTTCACCGAAGAGGAGTAAGTGTATAATTTTATCCCGAGGGAGCATGCTCTACACTCCCTCTTCCAAATATTTTCTTATGGGTGGAGGGCAGGGTCCACATGATCCATCTTTCCTTGTCACTTTTTCCAGTGGATCGGCTGGCAAGGACCTTTGCCATGAGTCATGAATATTGACTAAGAACATGAAGTTGAAATTAATATGATGTTGACTAGGAATAATTCATTAGATATCGGTTAATAATACAAGATAACGATTATAAAATAAATAATGCCTTGTTTAGTCCTAACATTGTCCAAAAATATAAAAAAATACAAGATTTGTGCCTCAAGTTGCTTGGCAAGCTGATTTCACCTTGTACGGGTTTGATCTATACTAATTATTAAACTTTCCTTTAGAAAAATAAGTTTTTCTTGTCATGAGCAAATGATACTTGCGGCTCAAATTGTCAAAGGATTTCATGCTTCCGAGGGAGCATATTGTCCATTAACTCCGCTGGGCAGAACACAGTCTAGGAGTGTTTTTAGGACCCCAAATTTTTGAGGTGTAACCTGATCAACCCATATGTTATACTCAACGAAAGGTATGTGAATAAGAAGTGAGAGCAAAATGTAACATTGTCAACGCTGTGGAAAAAAATAAGGGATTTATCCAATGCGACTATTTGCCTTTGAGACAAGGAGGTTACAATTACTTAAACTTTAATGTGAAGTCTGATAGCTTCGATGTGTCACACAGTTCAAGAAAATTCTTTTGAAGTTTGAGTTTGGTCAATGAAATCAATGCAGCCATCTAATTTCACATCCAATGATCAAGATGAATTGTGACCACCATGTAATAAAGATAAATGGTATCGTTGTATACTTTTCCAAAAAATAAAACATATCTACTCCCTTCGTATTCACATGCCTATAACCCACAATGTATTATCTCACTCAAAATGCTTTCATTGGTATAGCAAATAATTAAGGGTGCTCCCTCGGGAACATACTGAACACTAGTATATGATTGGACAACAGGTAGGTTAAGGCATGTGGGTAAGAAGTGAGAGCAAAATAAGGTAAGTTGAGAGCTTACTTTTAGAGAGATTGAGAATATTGGGCTGTAAGGTACCTTGAGAGATTGAGTTTTGAAATAATTTTGATTACATTTCCCAATATTGAGGTAATGGATTCCTCTTTGTTTCCCTTTTCTCTTTTTTCTTCTTTTTTTTTTTTTCTTCTTTTTTTTTTCTTTTTTTTTGTTGGTTAAATACAGTGAGGGATTGAAATTCCATGTAGCTTAACCACACTATTTCCCTTTATAGAATAGACAAATCGACTTTATATGATTTTTGTCTAGATAAATCTCAAAATATAGAAACATAGCAATGGACACGAATAAGAGCACAAATTTCATTAATGAAAAAATAATTCAACTAGATTTATTGAGATTGAAGTAGGAAGTGCGCGGCCTATAAGAGCCATGAAAATAAAAACAATCATGTGGCCTCATGGACCAAATCCTTTAACAAATTCCAGTAGTATGTATATTTCTTTAGATCTCAAGAAGGATCTTTCTCCAATCCTCATTATTGCCGAATCGAAATAATCAACTCGAATTTCAATTGGTGTCCATTATTTCAATAATCTGGAAAAAACCTGAAAAAATTGTGAGAAGGCATAATAAAAAAAAAAAAAAAAAAAAGGTTAAGGGGAATGCATGTAAATAAAGCAATCCTGAAAAGATAATGCATCCAATGTTCCCTTACATAATTGACTGCAAAGCATTGTCGTTACTTCAACTAGTAGACAGTGGTTGGTGGTGGTGGAGATTTGTAGTAATATGGATCTGGGGGTGATTTAGAGGGTGGTGGAGGAGACTTGTAGACATAGGGAGGAGGAGGGGATGGTGATGGGGGTGGTGGAGACTTGTACACATAAGGCTGAGGTGGCGATGGTGATGGTGGTGGAGGGGACTTGTAAATGTAAGGAGGTGGTGGAGATGGTGAAGGGGGAGGTGGAGACTTGTAGATATAAGGAGGCGGTGGTGATGGCGATGGAGGTGGAGGAGATTTATAAACATAAGGAGGTGGTGGTGAAGGTGATGGTGGTGGGGGAGACTTGTAGACATAGGGAGGGGGTGGTGATGGAGATGGTGGTGGTGGAGACTTATAGACATATGGAGGTGGTGGAGATGGCGACGGTGGGGGTGGAGACTTGTATACATATGGACTAGGTGATGATGGTGAGGGTGGTGGCGGGGACTTGTAAATGTAAGGAGGTGGTGACTTGTAGACATACGGAGGTGGAGGCGTTGGTGATGGAGGAGGAGGAGACTTATAGACATATGGAGGTGGTGGTGAAGGTGATGGTGGTGGGGGAGACTTGTAGACATAAGGAGGAGGTGGTGAAGGAGATGGTGGTGGTGGAGACTTATAAACATATGGAGGTGGAGGAGATGGCGATGGTGGAGGTGGAGATTTGTATACATATGGGGGTGGTGGAGATGGTGATGGTGGAGGTGGAGACTTGTATACATATGGAGGAGGTGGCGATGGCGATGGTGGTGGTGGAGACTTATATACATAAGGAGGTGGTGGAGAAGGTGAAGGTGGTGGGGGAGATTTATACACATAAGGAGGAGGAGGAGATGGAGATGGTGGGGGAGGAGACTTGTAGACATAAGGAGGTGGTGGTGATGGTGAAGGTGGAGGAGGAGATTTGTATACATATGGAGGAGGTGGTGATGGTGATGGTGGTGGAGGTGATTTGTAGATGTAAGGAGGTGGCGGTGATGGCGATGGTGGTGGTGGTGACTTATAGACATAAGGAGGGGGTGGTGATGGTGAAGGTGGGGTGGAGACTTGTAGACATATGGAGGAGGTGGTGAAGGCGATGGGGGAGGTGGTGACTTGTACACGTAAGGAGGTGGTGGTGATGGTGATGGCGGTGGAGGAGATTTGTAGACATATGGAGGTGGGGGTGACGGTGAAGGTGGTGGTGGTGACTTATAGATGTAAGGAGGAGGTGGAGATGGCGAAGGTGGCGGTGGCGACTTGTAGATATATGGAGGTGGCAGTGATGGTGATGGTGGGGGAGGTGACTTATAGACATAAGGAGGTGGCGGAGATGGTGAAGGTGGTGGTGGAGACTTGTACGCATAAGGAGGTGGCGGCGATGGAGAAGGGGGAGGTGGAGAGTTGTAGACATATGGAGGTGGTGGAGAGTTGTAGACATAAGGAGGAGGTGGTGACGGCGATGGTGGTGGTGGTGAGGTGTATAGGTAAGGTGGGGGTGGAGAATAATAATAATAATATGGCTCCGGCTTTTTAGCCACTACATTTGTTGCCAGGAAGCATACAATGGCCGCAAAGGCTAGCTGAGGCCAAAAATGCCTCTCCATTTTGGGCACCATGAAGGTGGCGCCACCAATTTTACCACCACTTTCTTTGCTTCAAAGAGGTAGCACTGATCTTCTCTCTCTTTCTTTAGTTTGTTTTTCTTGAGTGCTTTAGTGCTCTCTATGAGTCCCTTTTATAGTGCTAGCCCCCCAACCTCTGCTTTCCCGAGGGAAATATACTATCATTTATCCAACCTGGCCAAACCGTGTTTTCTTCCATTTTATTTACAGACCCTATTACAGTAATTTGATAGTTTCATATGTGTTTTATTTTATTTTTAATAATGCATTGCTATTGGAGTTTTTTATTTGGTGTGAACTGGATTTGTACATGGTCGTTGAAGATGAAATGATAATTGGAAGAAGTCAATCCCTACTCTGTCCCCATTGCATTGGGCATTAATTGGGTCACATTCACATGTTGAAGGGCTATTTTCATTAAGTGGCGGCCTTGGAATTGGTCACAATCGATATCAAATGAAAAGCAAGGGGAAGGGGTGCTATATTACCCTCTCTATACAAATGCCTATTTCAAACTTTTTCCCCAAAAAAAAAAAAATTCAATTAAAGATTGCCGATCTGATTCAAAAACACCGACATTTGGTCAGGATCGGGAGCTGGGTTCTAGTTCGAGATGGTTCTGCCATGTTCATATATTTTTAATTTCTATGTATAAATAAATTCGATCCGACCCGACCCGAGACTTACATTGCCAAATTAGGATTGAGCGCAGTTGATTTAAGGCTCAATTCCTATTTTTCAGTCTATCGAGCCGGAATTGAGCCGGCATGGGCAATTGAGTCTGAAATTAGTAGATTCGATTTTTATCTCCCTTGCTCGCTATTTAGATACTAAATATACAAGGAGGAGACCTTGTCACAGTTGATACTAAATAAAAGCCATGTGGTGCTTCGTTACCCTCTCTTTGGAAGGAAAGTATGTAAGGTTATTTTTAACTTTCTTAAATTAAGAAAAAGGAACTCGATTGAAGATTGCCGATCTGATTCGAAAATGCCCAAGTTGGGTCAGGATCGGGTTTGAGAAACCCCAAAATCGCTCCGATTCTCTCTTTTTTTGTAGCTTTTTAATTTCTTTGCCGATGCTAGCCCTATCTGATTGGGGAGTTGGATAAGGCACATCAGAATCGATCCCTAGTGATCAAGGCCCGATTCCTACTTTTTAGTCACTGTTTGACCGAGCCAGCTTGGGCAATTAAATCTACAATTAGTAGATATGACTTTTGTGTCCCTTGCTCTCTATTAGTGCTTTCTGGATCGGACTGCCATTGAACGGGTAATGTAGTTTGGTCTTAGAAAAACAATTTGTTCATTTTGTTTAGCTGGTCAAACTAGTCGAAACTGGTCCAAGAGCGGCTAAAACTTGTTAAATATTAGTTTTGATTTTTTTTTTTTAAAAAAAATCTCATTTTTATTAGACTAGACTGATCAAGTCACTTATCAACAATTCAACCAATGAAATTGCCAATCCAATCCACTCCTAATAACTATGGATGGATTGGATTTCTTTTCCACGTTTACATTAGATCAAAATGAACCGTCCATCCAGTCACCACCCCATTTCTATGAATCAAAATGCCCCTGGTGTGAACGAAAACTACAAAAATGTTCTTGACTCTAAAATGCTTTTCTTAAATACCTAAAATGCCCCATGCAGGCCGATGTCAAGTGCTTGGCACTGAGCCTCCTTTGTCAAAGACGCGTTCCTGCCAATCATTCAGCTTGACGCTAATAAAATACTAAATAAAATAAAAATAATAACGAATAAAATAAAATAATAGTCACAATAAATAAGTAAAAACATGTGCTTGGACCTATGTCAAGGACCATGCATGTTGATCAATGCCCAAACAAAGATTAGCGGAATTAACTTCCATTTTTCACATATGGGGGAGATCCCATTTTCGATTTTATATTTTATTTTGTTGTTTCCATATGTATTCTACTAAAAAAGAAAAGAAAAATCAAATAAATGAGTAAAGAAATTGATACTTTTTTTAAAGTAAATTTTCTAAAAGGTGGATTGCCAAAAAGATAATAAGGTTCCACTCTGGAGCCCTAGATTTCAAATTATAGTTTTGCAAAACATTTTATCTGTAAGTACGGTTTTCATCCAAGAGGATTTCAAATTATAGTTTTGCAAAACATTTTATCTGTAAGTACGGTTTTCATCCAAGAGGATTAAGTGTATAATGTTATCCCGAGGGAGCATGCTCTACATTCCCTCTTTCAAATATTTTCTTATGGGTGGAGGGCAGGGTCCACATAATCCTTTTTTTTTTTTTTCAATGGATCGGCTGGCAAGGAGCATTGTCATGAGTCATGAATATTGAGTAAGAACGTGAAGTTAAAATTAAAATGATATTGACTAAGAATTATTCATTAGATATTGATTAATAATACAGGATTTGTCCCTAAAGTCGCATGGCAAGCGGATTTCATGTTGGATGTATTAGGTGTACCTTGTACGGATTTGATCTTCGTTAAATATTAAACCTTTGTTTGTAAAATAAGTTTTTCTTGTCTTGGGCAAATGATACTTTCGGCTCAAATAATTATTGTCAAAGGAGTTCATGCTCTTTCAGGAGCGTATTGTCTATTAACTCCCTTAGATAGGTAGTGTATGTGTATTTTAGGGATTCCAAATTTTGGGGATTTAACCTCTTCAATCCACATGCTGTCATCATCATCGTCATAATCTTTTTTCAATTAATTGGAGTCGGCTATATGAATCCCGGTCTGTCATTCAGCTCTATTAAAGGTCATACCCTTAGTGAGGCTATAAGTCCATCTATTTTTACAAACTACTTCCAACCACGTCTTTTTGGACCTATTCCTTGCTCTTTTAAGTCCTACCACTTGAACTAACTTGCACTTCCTAACAAGTGTTGTACTTGGTCGGCGGAATACATGGCCAGCCCATCTAAGTCTAATCTCTCTCGTCTTATCACATATTGGTACCGCACCTAAATTCTCCTAAATGGGTTCATTTTAAATTCTATCACTTCTTGTCTTACCACTCCTCCATCTCAACATTCTCATTTCCGCTAAACTCCTTTTATGGGCATATTGTTTTTTGTGTACCAAATATTTAGCCCCATAGATCAAAGTTGGTCTCACAATTGTCTTATAGAACTAGCCCTTCAACTTCATTAGTACAATGTTATAACATAAAATTTCAGTTTCACATCTCTACTTTGCCCACCTAGCCCTAATTCTGTGTACGACATCTTCCTCAATCTTTCCATTTTCCTGGATTATCGACCTCAGATATCGAAAGTGTGATTTTTTTCATCCTTCCTAGTCATCAATCTTAACTACTTCTTCGTCTCTACTCCTATTATTACTAAACTTCTATTACATATAATATGTCTTAGTCCTGTTAATTTTAAAACCTTTGGATTCTAGAGCATTCCTCTAAAGTTCTAACTTTATATTGATCCCGTTTGGGGTCTCATTGATAAAAAATGTGTCATCTGCAAACAACATGCACTATGGTACCTCATCTTGGTGCCTAATTAAGTCGTCCGTAACTAAGATAAAGAGGTACGGGCTCAATGCTGACCTTTGATGTAGACCTATTGTTATTGAAAACTCACTCATCACTCCACTAATTGTTTGTACACTAGTTAGTGATCCATCGTATATATCTATCACCAAGTTGATGTAGTGTTTGAAAACTCATTTCTTTTCCAACACCCACCAAATCAAATATCGACGTACTCTATCATAAGTTTTATCTAGATCAATAAAGACCATGTGGAGGTCTTTTTTTTTCACCCTAAACTTCTCAATCAGTTGCCTAAGTAAAAAAATAGCCATAGTTGTTGGCCTTCCTAGCATAAAACTAAATTGATTTTTAAATAAACTCGTTTCATATCTTAGTCGTTGCTTAATCACTCTCTCTCAGAACTTCATAGTATGATGCATAAGCTTGATCCATCGATAGTTCGTAAAATTTTGTATGTCTCATTTGTTACTGAAAATAGGTACCACAATATTTTTTCATCGATTCGTCTGGTATTTTCTTTTCTCAATACCTAATTGAATAATTTCATTAGTCACTCAATGCCAATCTCCCTCCATGCACTTCCAAACATCTATTGGGATACCATATGATCCTAAAGCCTTTCTATCTTTATCATTTTTAAAGCTTTTTCACTTTCGACATCCTGATCCCACAAATGTATTTATGACCTACGCCCTCATTTGTATTACTAGTTCCTTTTACCGCTATGTTCTCATTGTATTCGTCATTTTAAATTTTTTTGAAAATAAACTCTCCACCGTTTGTTGACCTCGTAATATTTCACCAAGACATTTTGATCCTCACTCTTAATGCATTTTATATGGTTTAGATCCTATATCTTTTCTCTCTAATTTTTGCTAAATTTGAAGACATTTTTTCACCTTCTCTTGTTCCTAGTTTATTGTATAGATTATCATATGTCTTAAGTTTAGCTTTACTTACTATTTATTTAATGTTTTTCTTAGCTTTTTAATATTGTTCTAAGTTTTGATCGTTTCTATTACACTTTCAAGTTTTATAACATGATTATTTTGCTAATAGCCTTTTGAACCTCATTATGCAACCACCAAGTTTCTTCATCGAAGTTTTTTTTCCCCTCTAAAGTCTCCTAAACCTTCTTTTGCCACTTTCTTGATATAGTCAGCTATCTCATTCAATATTATATTGACATCACGTTCAGAGGTTCATTTTCATTCTTCAACTAATTTATCTTTAAATAAGTTTATTTTCTCAGTTTTTAATTTCTGCCACCTAGTTCTTAGACCCCCATTACTTTCACCCATTATCTTCCATGTCTTTATGCAAACGTCCATAACCACGAGCTTACGTTGAGTAGTCAAACTCGCTTCTAGGATAACCTTGCAATTTTTACATGATGGTCGATTTACCTTCTTAATTAGGAAGAAGTCACTCTGCCTTTTATGTGATCTATTTATAGTTTATTGGATGTTCATCTTACTTTTTAAAGTAAGTATTTGTTATTATTAGGTCGTAGGCCATAACAAAAATCTAGGATAGTCTCACCCATCTCATTTCTTTCCCTAAACCCATATCCCCCATGTACCCCTTTATATCTTCTAATATCCTTCCCTACATAACCCCTTCATATCTACTAGCATTCCTCTTCTTTTTCTTTTTTTTTGGTTAAATAAAGCGAAGGATTGAAATTCTGTGAACCCCAACCACACAATTTCCCTTTATAAAGTAGAATAATCGATTTTATATGATTTTTATCTTGATAAATCTCAAAATATAGAAACATATCCATTCACACAAATTAGAGCACCAAATGGATTAATGAAAAATTAATACAACCAGATTTATTGAGAATGAAATAGGAAGAGTGTGGCAAATAAGAGCCATCAAAATAAAAACAATTGTGTGGCCTCATGGACCAAATCTTTTAATAAATTCCAGTAGTATGTATATTTCTTTAGATCTCAAGAAAATCCTTCTTCAATCCTCATTGTTGCAGAATCCAAATGACCAACTCGAACTTCAATTGGTGTCCGTTATTTCACTAATATAGAAGAAACCTGCAAGTGAGAAACTTGTAAGAATGCATACAAAAAAGAAAAAAAAAAGTTAAGGGAATTCATGTAAATATAATAACCCTGGAAAGACAATGCATCTGATGTTCTCTTACATAATAGATAACAAAGCAGTGTCGTTACTCCAACTAGTAGACAATGGTTGGTGATGATGGAGATTTGTAGTAGTAAGGTTCTGGAGGTGATTTAGAGGGTGGTGGAGGAGACTTGTAGACATAAGGAGGTGGTGGAGATGGTGATGGTGGTGGAGGGGACTTGTAAATGTAAGGAGGTGGTGGAGATGGTGAAGGTGGAGGTGGAGACTTGTAGATGTAAGGAGGTGGTGGTGATGGGGATGGAGGTGGAGGAGAATTGTATACATAAGGAGGAGGTGGTGAAGGTGATGGTGGTGGGGGAGACTTGTAGATATAAGGAGGGGGTGGTGATGGAGATGGTGGTGGTGGAGACTTATAAATATATGGAGGTGGTGGAGAAGGCGACGGTGGGGGTGGAGACTTGTATACATATGGAGGAGGTGGTGATGGTGAGGGTGGTGGCGGGGACTTGTAAATGTAAGGAGGTGGTG